TCACTCTGACCTCTAAAAATAGCCTTCAGGAGTTTTCTAATGCGAAACTACTATTATAATTTTTTGAAAAACTACTTTCGATTGATACTCGATTTCCTGTTTGGAAAATACTAATCCGAAAAACTCTATGTGAGTGTGTCGCTGAAAGTTAATAAATGCGCCCACGGATGAGTATGTCAAATCGTGCTCTATTTTCCCCAAAGAAATTTCCCCACGAAATGCGCCTCTAAAAAAGATGATGGTACTACATTTTCGTAACGCTAATCAGCTCCGAATTTTTGTAATCCACATTTTGACATCGTTTCAATATTCAATATATATTTTTTTACCAAAGTACACGTGGAATGAGATTAATAACAGTATAGTCCAAACAAAGGTTGTATGTACACAGTGGTGAATTTTTGCACGATCAAAGCCCTATTTTAAAATTAAAAAAAAAAAAAAAAAAAAAAAAAAAAAAAAAAAAAAAAACACAAAAGCACAAAAAAACACCCCCTAAATCATTCAGAAAGAAAAAGTATCGACACACGTCGAATTGTAGGGGAAAAAAAAAAGAAATTTCTCTCTATCCCGTACAATCAAGAAATGGTGATAACAGAAGGACCTTGTACAGTAGCATAGCTGCTCCTGGCACTTCTCAGCGGCAACCGAAACGGAAAGACAAGATCATCTCTGCACCAGAGTCTTTGGCGAGCATCATCGCTATATACACGTAAAGGATCGCTCGGCTCTCTTTCCCCTCTTTCTCGGCCGATGGGCCATATGTATCAGCGCAGCCGCAGCTCCCTTTTTTTTTTTTTTTTTCTCTCCCCGTACAAGACTGCCCCGGCTCGTACATATACGTATATACGCGCCCATGTGTGTACACACTCGTTCTGTCACACGTACGGAGAGAGAAGGAGAGCGCGGCGCGCGCGCGCGAGCGAGGCGAGGGAGTGCCAAGCACCACCGCCACCTGCACCACCTTGCGCGTATACCTACACGCGAGACCGCTCTCGCACGCACTTTATAAGCCGCTAAGCCCGCGACAAGACGAATAGATAGCCTCGCGTTGTGCTCTCGTGTTGATGTGTGTGATAGGACAAGAGGGAGACTGACCCACGTTTAAACGGACCCTACGAACCCTTCGTCCTCTTCATGTTGTTTTCACTGGTGCGCGAATTTTTGTTTGCTATTGCGATTGCTCGTTGCCACTGTTGTTGCTTTTGCCGCAGTCCTTGTTGACAAACGCAAGCGACAACACTTTTTTTTTTTACTGTTATTCATCGTTGTCAGTTTTTTTTTTTGTTTTTTCTTTTTTTTCGTACTAACGAGCCGGTGTACACGCTATCTTTTTTTTTTCTCTCGATTTTTCTCGTTACAATACGAGAATCGGCAAGGACTTTTCGTTACCGGTCGTTCGTACAACTCCGCTACATTTTGGACCGGCAGAACATGAAGTAGTTGCCATTGGCAGGGTTGTCAGAGGTAAGTGATTTGCTGTGCTCATATAAACAAATTATCATAATCATTTTTTTCGGGGGGGGGGGGGGTGTGATTTTTGCCTCAAAAGATAAACTTTCCGCTTTGAATTTTCGCGCGAAATCGGTACGTATTCAATAAAATGCAGTTTCGCTAGACTTGTATGAAACATTCGCCCAAGTTGTTTAGTTGTTGCTTTTTTTTTTTTCTTAAATACGGTGCCAGAGTGAAAGTGTTGTCTTGGATTTCTAAAAAAAAAAAAAAAAATCTCGTGCTTTCTGCGAACTAAGGTTTCAAGTGTGTTTCGGAAACCAAAGTCGCAGTTAAACAAGGATTTTGCAAAGAAGGAACTCCGGGATACGCGGCTCAGCGGTCGGACTTGAGTCGTAAAATTAAATACTTTTTTATTGACTCGATTTTTCCTGGATGCCGGTGTATTGTGCTTCATTATCTTCGATTGTTAACATTTGCGCGATTTACAAATATTTTGAAACACGAGCGTGTACTGTATAATGTCGGATGTTACTTAATCTCGTGCAGAAACGTGACGATAAATATTTTTCGTGAAATAAGATGCGCAAACAATTTTTCCGAAAATATCCATCTTGGTTTCTTATTATATAAGATTATCGCGTGAGTTTTTACCCTCGAAAAATCATTATACTTTGCTTTTCATTGAAAAACCGATCGCCGAGAAATGTGTCATGTTTCCCATACGATTCGACCTTCCCCGAACATTTTGACGCGTTAATCAAAGCTTCGATTAAAATTTACCAGAGCAAAAAATCACTTGTCAAAACACACCTTATTATTATTATAATAATGATAAAAGAAAAAAAAAAAAACCGACGATGATATTTATTTATCTTAGTCAGTCGCTCGGCGCAGTCTCGAATTGCGTCCGTGTTAACAGAATGTCGGCTATTCTACGCGCTCGGACTGACTAAACACATTCCCAATCGCACGCGCCTCAGCACATTTATCTCGTGAAAAAAGAAAAAAAAAAAAAAAAAAAAAAAAAAAAAAAAAAAAAAAAAAAAAAAAAAAAAAAAAAAAAAACAATAGCTGTTGATTCCTCGAAAAATCATTCAGCGCTCGATTCCCCACCGACCCAAGGCACCGTTATACTTTACAGGGGAGTTGGAAAAACTCGCGCAACCGATCAAAACTGAAAGTTTATCTCGCGCACCGACGCGCCGCAGCGACGACTCACGTTCTCTTCGTTTTACAGAACAAAAAAAGGCCCCGCGCTCCGGATCCCAGCTGGTGAAGAGGTAGAAATCGCCGAGAGGGTAGTTGACGAAGGAGAGAGAGAGAGAGAGAGAGAGCCTTGACCTTGGCCTTCGGGGAGGCGCCAGGAAGGGAGGAGATCGGCAGCCGAGCCATGGTGGCCGCAACCATGTTCTGGATCCTGCTGAGTTGCGCCTCGACGCTGTACTTTGTGCTGATGTGCATGAAGCGCGGAGTGTTTGGCGCCCGGCTCCGCGGCAAGTCGCCCGAGAGGAAGAGCCTCAGGGGGCCCCTGTCCCTGCCGCTGATCGGTAGCATGTACAAGCTCGGGAGCCCCGAGGGGCCCTTCGCCGTGTTCACCGACTTGTCCCACAAATACGGCCAGATCTTTGAGATGCAGCTCGGGGTCTCCAAGTGCGTGATCGTCAGCAGCTACGCCCTCATCAAAGAGGTCCTCATAACCAAGGGCGGACACTTTGGCGGCCGACCCGATTTCCTGAGATTCCATCATCTGTTTGGCGGCGACCGCAACAACTGTGAGTTGTTTACCGATGGTCACTTTTTTACATCATTAGCCCAGATGCTTTGGCCGCTGTTGTCGTTGTTTTTGCCCCCACTCGGTGGTAATTCACCGCCGATGTTTAACGAGCAAATGGGAAAATCGGTAACCGGTGCGACGTCCTTAAAATTGTAGTCCCTCAATGAAAACCCTCCGATGGACTTTCTTCCGGAGATGACGCGTATACGCGGCCGATCGAGAGAGTATTACGAAAGGGGTTTCGCAACAGCTTTTTTTTTGGGGGGAGATGCGTTTCTTCGAGACTTTTTCTTCCTTTCCTTCGATGCACCGATAATTGGATGAAAAAAGTATGCCACGCGTCACGAGTGACATAATTATTTTCGACAACTATACTCCCGATCGATCGGAAGAGTTTGATGTTTTTCCAAAACTTCCGGTATGCATCGATACCATCTTTACACGTAAATCCAAGTCCGAATGGCAATTCCTTTGATTTTTTTTTTCCCACGCTTAGCTCTTTCCTGGAAAGGAAAAGAAATAGAAAAAGAGCAGGTATACACAACGTGTTTTTATCCACCCGGTGAATGACGAGTGTTATTGAAGTATACTAATAGAGAAAGGGGGAGGTAGAGCCAGAAACAGAAAGAGGGAGAGAAAAAGGAAAGATACTTGGCAATGACCCCATTCAGCGAGGCGCTATACCGATCTGGATTACCGTTCTTGAGAAGAGAGGTAAGTGAGAGAAAAGGAGCAAAAGAGAGAGAAAGGCCTATCACACACGTTGGCAGCGGTGGCGACGGCGCTTCGCGTGCACGCGTCGTCCGCATACACGTATATATATATAGGTAATCTCACTTCTGCGAGTCTCGTGCGTCTGATGCCCCGCGATCCTTAATCGTTGGCACGTGATCGCAGGCACGCGCGCTTTATATCCATATGTACGACTCCGATCGGGGGTACGAATTGCACAGTTTGCGGGCGATGGTACAACGGTGACTTACCGGCTTTTGATCATCGGCATACACCCAAACATATAAATTCCATGTCCCCTCCCACCCCCCTTTTCCTTCAGCTGTGGAAAATTTTTCGTTACCTCACTTACGTGACTCGGATTACATGTATGTTTCCATTAAATTTTCCACGATTCTCCGGTTCAATGGATTAACATAAAAAAAAAGAAAAAAGAAAAGTAGCTTAAAGCACTCGTGCGGCCGCGTAATTTTACTTTTATGGTTGAGTCGCGGAAAAAAAGAAAAAAAGGTTGACCAATGAGTCGCGCGATTACACATTCATAAGAGAGAGGGAAGAAAAAAAATAGGGCAAAGGAAAATACGAGTTATTTGGAAAATCGCTTAGTTGCTTAATTGAATGTATAATCGAATAACAGCGTCTCCTGCGACACGCGTACTTACATAAAAATATATATACTCGTGCCGCGAGTCTCTCTCTCGTTCTCTTACTGCATCGTATATATCCCACTTGCCGATAGACGTCCGAGTAGCTTTCGAGTGACGCACGTGTTCCCCCTCGAGCTGCGGCTGGATTTGCTGAAAATAAATTTTTTTCCCCCCCTCGATTCGATTCTCAGCCGATACACATCCAAAAGTTTTTTTTTTCGTATTACGCGAGCGCGCCAAAGGGCATGTCACACGTTTATTCAAATCAAAACGACGAGTGCTGATGTAATCCCGATACGGGGCCAAGTGGAAAAATTTGAAAATCGATACTTTTCAAAACAATTTTTTTTTTTTTTTTGCTGTACAAATATTGTAGTCAACATTATGCTAAACTGTGTAACTCCATTCGTTCGTCGCTGTGGGCCATCTTTCGTCAGATTGGGGAAAAAAGCAACTATACTCGAGCTCTCGGGTATACTGGTGTCGTTGGAAACCGTTAAATTGTAATACTTTGGTGACCAATTAGATAAAAAAAGGAAAAAAGAAATTTTTTACCCTTATCATTGAAATATCGTTGAAAAAATTGCAGTTGGTACAAGATTTATTCGGTAAGGAAACATTGAATCAAAAATAATTGAGTATTTTGTTTGTTAACCCGAAACGATTTATTGATTTAACAAAAAAAAGTAAAATAAATAAAACGGAAGTACGGATGATGCAATTCCCGAGTGCATAAATCGTAAGTGCCCATCTACAAGGCCACAGAAGAAGAAAAAAAGTTAACGTTCTCTCGAAAGTGGGAAAAGAAAAGAGGGAAGAAAGAATAAATCAACACGACACCCACACGTGCTGTAATATTTGTTTTTCCTCGACTCGCGGAAGTAAAGCATAAGTGCGCGGGTAACTTTTTTTTTTTTTTTTTTTTCTTCTTCTTTCCGCGTGCACCGTACGTAACGCACGCACTTAAGGTGGCTCCAGTGGCCTCAATGTTAAAATTATAAATAACCCAACCGAGGTTAATAAAATTGAATTATATTCTTTGAATTCCCATCTTTCTATTCGTATAAAAAAAATTAAGGTTGACGATGAAAATTGTAAGAAATCATGCTTACAAAATCGTAGTTTTAAGACGGGTTAGATAGGAAATTCAAGCTTACGCGATATACAACCTACTGCTGCACTTATATAAATAACCCGTAAGGTGTAAAAAACATACTATCTTGTATTTATTATTACGCAGTTTTCGATGACATGAGAAAAGTGTCTTGTTATCGAACAAAATCTTTAAATAATCGGAGACTAAGTATACAGTTGCGAGTGCAAGTCAGCTCTCAGCTGTCTGCATTCTGCAGAGTACATATATATAGGTATAACTACTCTTGAACTTAGGAGCGTACCGTAACAGTTCATCAATTAGGGCACCATAAAACTTTTTTGTTTTTTTATATTAACTCACTAAAGTAACAGATAAAATGTAGAATATGGCTTACAACAGTCTCTACGATAATTTTATACCATATTTTAAAGAAAATAATGATTAATTTTTAGTCTCCCCATTTTGATACGGCACTAGGCGCTGGAGCCACCTTAAAAGCGCAGCGGCGCGGCGTTTCAACCGCGAGGTGCTTTAAATGGAACGTGATCCTGGCCTCTTTCTCTTTCTCGCCCACTCCGCTTCATTCTAGATCAGAGTACTTTTTTTTTCTTTTCTTTTTTTCTCCCCCGGCCGTCTAGACTTTGGGTCAAACAACAAACGCACATACGCGCGTATCGCGTAACAGTGCGAGTCACGCGCTTTTGCAACCCAACATCGTGCATGTGGTATAACTCTCGGAGCCGTGCGTTTGTCGGTAAAGAGCTATTGCCACGCCGCACACGCGTCTGGTTATGAAATTGGAAATTCAAATTTTTCGAACTCTCTAGAAAATATATGCATGCCCATCTGACCTCCTTTTTCCGACGCGCCACGGCTCACAAAGGCACGCGGCAGGTGCTCTCGGCCGTTCGGATTTCATTTTTTTTTCTTTTTTTTTTTTTTCCTCGATGGACCCACAGCCACTCTTACTCGGACTCTCTCTCTCTCGGACTTATATTTATAGCTACGTACAAGGGCAAGTTACCTTCCATTATAGGGCCCCCCAGTCCTTTGGCCGACAAACATAAACATCATTTTATTCTTGCATCCATTAATTTTCCCTTATAAATCGTAGTCGTACTTGTAACTCGACGCCTATTGTCGCGATAAGCCCGAATTCGCGGAAAAATCGGATGCATTGCGTACGATTCCGCACGTTCCTATTATTTACAATACCTGTGTAGGCGGGTGCCTCGAGAAACTTCTCCTTCCAATCGTTCACGCAAATTGTGTGCAATAAAAGTTTTATTTTTTCCTCTCACTATCAAGTATCATATAAAACAGCTGACAAAATGTTTTCCGGCTTCCGTGTTTGTGTGCTGTTCATCATAAAAAAAAAAATTCCATATCTATACTTGGTATGAGAACCGAATTTAAAAAAAACATGACATTCGCGTTTCGACATGTATATTATATTCATAGGATGCGACAAATCCCCCAAAAATATCTCAAACGCGTGCAACGTATAGGGGATGGAGTAATTATTATAACGTCGCAAAACGTAAAATGATCATGAAAGTCATAATATGTACAAAGTATAAGTATACCTTGGTGTGCGCGCGTGCGAGGATAAAAATATATGTGCAGAGCGGAAGAAACGGTCGCGCGGCAGCTATACATATACGCGTTTATGTGCGTATACTTACAAGAGAGGAGATTACAGTTACAGCATACGCGCACTTTCCATTGCGTGAAAAGAAGAGGGGGTTGGGAGGGAAAAACCGATGCAAGTGCGTGTAAGCCGCGAGGACGCGTTATTTTTCTGAATTTCCCTCCTGCACTTTTATATATACATATTAGGCTCGCAACCTATTTAGGACGATCAACTAGTTTGACTCGGTTTTTTTTATACCTGTCCACACATAAGTATCGATGTATTGCGCGACTTTGCGACGACGAACCCCATTTTATTCTAATATCGAATGTTTAACCGTGTATGGCTATCGTAGTTGCTCGACAAAACTGTTATTTTCATCCGCACTCTCTTACACGTACGTACACTATATGCACATGAACGCATGCACGTATATGGGTCATTTCACGAAAATTCCGATACTCCACAAAGACTATGTGTTTAAAAACGACGAGTCGAATTATTTCGAGTCAGAACTTTTTTTTCAAAAGTGAAAACTTATTTTTCTTTAAATTGTTTTCGAGATTGAGACCATATAATTTTTTGCGTGACGGTAAGATGGAAAAAACGAGCCAGAATTAACAGAAAACGTATACAGTCCTGTAGCCAACTATTGTCACTTTCAAGTCTCATGCAACAAATGATTTAATTTGTCCAAAACAACGATAGCTCCGTTAATTTCTTGTTGCAGCCCTAAATTCTAATGCCGTCGCGAATACTTCTTTTAACGTCCCAGTAAAAAAAGTAAAATAAAAAATAATGTAAAAACCTTTCGAGCCCTAGATTGAAAAAAAATTTTAATTTGTCACCCCCAAAGTGTTTCATTTTTCGTGAAACGGCCCGTATACATGTATACACATTTACGTCAGTTGCGAGAACCGTAACGGTACTCGCGGGGATCGAGCGGCGCTTTCTCGGGCGCGCCCGAGAGCTCTACCCTGTACTCGCTGGCTCGCCAATCCATTTTGCTTGAATATAATCCACGCGTGCGGAGAAGACCCGAGAATCGCGCACGTGTTTAAAACTCTTACGGCTCGCGTGTATAAATATACGCATGCATACATACCTATGTATATTTCGCGCGTATATACAATATACATGTAGCTGGCCCGTATTGGCCACGTAAGTCGAGAAAGTCACCGTGTGTGTGTGTGCGTGCGTGCGTGTGTGTGTGTGTGTACGTACATTATATACATATATGTACCTTTGGTGCTGATCGGCTGACGAATCGATCGGCCGATCGTTGCTTCGGGTTATTTTTTTTTTTTCCTCCACGGGGAGGATTCCCCGCTGACGTCATCCGGAACGAAAAATCGGTATACCTATGACCCTCGGTAAATGGTCACTGACCTTTGCGCATGAAAAAAATTATACGCTCTATTACCACGTGTTATTTTGCGCTCGCCGATCTCCTTCTCGGGTTTATGCATACGTATATATACTTAACGATACGTTTGAGAGATCGTTATCGGCGAGGAAAAAAAGTATAGTGGGACTATGCATGTGCTCCCCGGGCCATTTCGGTAGGGGAATTTAAATCGTTTAGTCAAAGGCGATCTAGCGAGATTCAGAGTCCTTGAGGTAATACTGTCTTATATCGATGAAATGTTTAACATAGGCCATTATTTGTCTAACAAAATTTATGTAAAAATGTTTTGGACCTACATGTATGGGGCCATGTGAAAAGGGGCTGATTGCAATAATCAATACCGGTTAGAAATCAATACTTTTCATGGAACAGGTTAACATCCAATTTTCCTTAACGATTTTCCCGATTGCACGAAAGATACCGATCTCCAAAAAAATAGAACTGTATATTATGGTAGTGATTTTAATCGCGGTCACGATAGAGACGTCAAGATTCGCTGACCCGAAAGAAAGAAAAAAAAAAAAAAAAAATACGTGGATCCCCATAACCGATCGCGCGAAAGCAAAAGTCAAGGGCAAAAATCGGAGCGGCGCGTACAATACCATTGGTACCGCGAGTCGGTCTTGCCCGGCAACACCGCGTGTTAGTAACAACAAAAAGCAGACGACAAGACCTGTTACTCTTAATTTCCTCTTGTAGGATTATGGTGGTGTATCGCAGGCGCGAGCGTCTGGGAATATCGTTGAAAGACTGGTCGCGCCGAGTCAATGGATAATGAACGATCTCGGGGAACAGGAAGCGAAACGAGCCCCTTTTTCTCGTACACGTAATACACTGCCCAGTCGAATTAACCACCACCGGTTGCTCCTCCCGACGCGCGCCTCGTCTTCTCGGAAGCAACCTGTTGCACCTGCCGTGTTTTCGCTGATCCTTATTGCGCAAGTCCGGTTACCATCAATCGCACCGAGCCATCTCTCTCTCTCTCTTTCTCTGTCTCTTGGCGTTTCACCAAAATCCTTTTGAGGCTAAACTCGTATGTACGGACATTTTTACCCATAGAAATCGAGTTTGCTCTTATTCTCACACTCGTTCATCTCGCGATTGTCGATCGATGAAAGTCTTTCTCGTGGGCGCGTGCCTCCTTGGATCGGTTCTCGGAACTACATGCTTATACCCACGATATCAATTGGGAGTACGATTTTTGAGTGGCGAAGGGCGATGGGTCGCGTTATTAATTTAGAAATAGGAATTTCACTCGAGAGTTTCTTGTTTTTCCCGATCGGCGCGTACATAAATAAATACGTAATGCGCGCTTGATGAATTTGACCCGAGCCGCATCATAATTTCCTCCTCATTACACGCGTATTTCATATCTGCTATACCAACAAATTAATCAAGCGGCAAACAGGTTGGAAGCGTATATGTATATATATACCTAAAACAATCGGAGCTCGCGTGCCTTTGGCTAAATCGCCTCGGAAAAGTGACGCATGAAAAATTATTATGTAAGGAAATTTCGTCCTACGCGATATCCCAAGGCGTCAAGGTCGACTCGAGAAATCAATCCGGCTCTATTTATAACCACCTGGTACACGCCTCGGGTTGGCCAAACATGTTTTTTCACCCAAGGGACATTTTCTTTCGGGTCCAACCTCAATCGCCCGTAGGAGCTATTTCTCGGGCGTGCATTAACATACTAGCCGTCGGGTCGTATCGGTTAGGTCCCACCATCCGGTATTATTTCGTGTCACATGTGGAGTAATAATCCTCATTCCACAGCGGTTGCACCGTACCAAAATATAGAATATTGAAATGATCACTTGACGAAACAGCAGTGGCCAAAAGATCCAACTGATCCCAAATGAGCCGATGTCATAATTGCGATGATAATGACCCATGACGACGGTGTCGTTATTTCGATGTTGCAGCTCTGGCGTTGTGCGACTGGTCGGACCTGCAGCGCAAACGGCGCTCGATCGCCCGGAGCTTCTGCTCGCCCCGCGGCGGCAGCTCCCAACAGGAGGAGATATCCCGCGTGGCCGTCGACGAGATCGCCCAGATGTTCGAGTACCTCGAGGACCCCCGGAACGCGGAGATCCTCGCCGGCGAGCGCCCGGTCAAGCCGATAGTTCTCGCGGCCGTGGCCAACATGTTCACCAAGTACATGTGCTCGACGCGCTTCGACTACTACCAGGACGAGGAGTTCAAGCACGTGACTCGCGCCTTCGACGACATATTCTGGGATATAAACCAGGGCTACGCCGTCGACTTCCTGCCGTGGCTGAAGGTCTTTTACAGCGGCCACCTTACCCGGCTGAGCGACTGGGCCAACGACATCCGCGGCTTCATCCTCAGGCGGATCATCGAGCCCCGGCGGGCCAGCCTTGACCTCGACACCGAGATACCCCGCGATTTTACCGACGCCCTGCTCTTCCACCTCCAGAGCACCCAGTCCGAGCTCTCCTGGCAGCACATTCTCTTCGAGCTCGAGGACTTTCTCGGGGGCCACTCGGCCGTCGGCAACCTCGTCATGATGGTGCTGGCCAACGCGGTCATCCACCCGGAGATCCAGACGAGGATCCAGGAGGAGTGCGACGCCGTCATCAGGGGCAAGCTGGAGCGGGGCGTCGAGGTGGGCTCGTTGATGGTGTCGCCGAGGGACAAACCCCAATTGCCGTATACCGAGTCGGTCATCTGGGAGACCTTGAGGGTCTCGAGCTCGCCCATCGTGCCCCACGTGGCCACCTGCGACACGGACATCAGCGGCTACCCCGTCGCCAAGGACACCATGGTCTTTCTGAACAATTACTCGCTGAACCTGGGCGAGGAGTATTGGGGGGCGGACGCGAGACAGTTCAAGCCCGAGCGGTTCCTCAAGCGGGAGGAGGGCGAGACGGTCGACCGAGTCTCCCGACCGGACTTTTTCATGCCCTTCTCGACGGGCAAGAGGACCTGCATTGGCCAAAAACTCGTCCAGGGCTTTGCTTTTGTCACAGTGACGATGCTTCTCGCCAAGTACAACGTGAGCGCACCCCCCACGGTTGATGTGACAAAGTCGATACAGTCGAGCTGTCTGGCCCTGCCGCCCGACTGCTTCAACCTCATCTTCACCAAGAGGAAGCTCCCGGTGTCGTCGTAGAAACGTGCGCTCCTCCCGAGCTACGAGCGGTATATTTCACTCCGTTACGTTTGGGCGAACGGATTCTCGAAGCTGCTACGTATTACGCAGTCGAACCTTGGAACTCGTGTTTTTTTTCCCCCTTTCTTTTAAGATGACAATGAAATATTGCAGCGACAGCAGTCTGACGTTGGGTGGCGATAGTCGTAGTCGACCTCCATTATTATTATTTTTTTTTTACGCAAGCGCTAGTGCGAGGATTATCATAATTTGAAAAGTATTTGTAGCTCATATCTTACAGGACGTCGTAAGGTTTGAGATACAGATGCTTTTGTTACGAAGGACACGAGAAAGCATGTCCCATAAATATATCGAGGTTTTTCTTCTTTTTTTTTTTTTCTCTCCCTTACAAACCCCTTCCTCGACATTTCACTGTTTCAACAGTAGTGATTGCGTTTTTTATGGAGATAACGTTTGTACTGAATCGCAGAAATGCCATTATCTATTGCTCACAGCAACGGTCGTCAAAATTTTCCATTCCATCGCGCAACCATACAATGGGTTCTCACAACTTTCAATCCTCCCGATCTCAAAGTACTTTTAAATTTCATTTTCGACTCATCTATAGGTGTAATATTAAACGTATACGCAAAGCTATCAACAATATTTTGATGCAATAGTATTGTATTATTATTATTATTATTATTTTACGTGTTTTCCGTAGGAGTAGGTACAATAATATACTTAATAATATCACACACTTAGTACAAACTTGCAAAGTAGAATATCATCGTATTATTACTGTTATCATTATTATTATTATTATTATTATTATTATTATTTTCACAATTTTACTGCTATGATTACATACGATTCACATTAGAAACGTCACATTTGCATTTAATGTTCATTATCTACTCGTACAAGAAAACAATGGTTATAACTTTAAAAATACAGTCGCAACCAAATATTCTTACGATCATGCCACTCTTCGCTTGACTCGAAATACATTCATCATATACGTTTAAGTTGATATAAGGTGCAAGAAGAATATATTATCTTCTATTTTTAATAATAGAACAATAATTACATTCACGTGCTCATCATATATTATACACAATTCACAAGACAAGACTGAATGTCATTCTTAGATTATAGATACGCTTGTTACTTATAATTTAATGATCATATTTAAATGTTAAAAATAGCGTCTTGGGGAAAGGAGATACCCAAATGTTTCACAAATACTCGATATAATATTGATTTTAAAAAATCCACGCACACCATTTAAATGAAAACAAACTTGTTCACAAAAAAAAAATAAAAGTGGGTACCTTCGTTTCTCAATTCACGTAANTACTCGATATAATATTGATTTTAAAAAATCCACGCACACCATTTAAATGAAAACAAACTTGTTCACAAAAAAAAAATAAAAGTGGGTACCTTCGTTTCTCAATTCACGTAAGATCAATATTTTTAATGATAAAATGTTGTTATAAAAAAAAAAAAAAAAAGAAGTAGATTATATTCGTTAAATTTGATTTGATAGATATAAACTTACTTAAGTGTGCATGTGTGCGTGCATGTGTGTACAATGTATATTTCGACGAAATAATAATAATAATTTTTAAAACCATCCAGACTCTAAATCTAAATGTATTAGGGATGATTCAGTATACAATAGTGGGAGTTCCTACCTCGTCGACAGCCTTACTTAAAACATATTTTTAATAATTATTACCTTCACAACTACTTTTATGCAAAATAACGAGAAATGGCACAAAACTTATTCGAGATAAAGTTTATCGTGATCTATTGAGGATTGAGGCAGTAAAGTGTGGTCGTTGAAGTTGTACTTCAGATCATGAGCTCCTCAGTACACTTTCATAACTCAACACTAAAAACTCCCACTGATATACTGAATAACTTAATAGTAAAACTTGCACTGCAGGAACGCACGAGCGCACATGATTCTTGTAAATAAATTATAATCACATAAACATGTAAGCATCGCATTATCCATTACTTTGTGTTACAATTAGTCAAAGCTTGCAACTTACAGATAATCAAGTTGTACATAGACACGGAAATAACCCACTACACGTGCTCATAAACGCAAATGAATGCACATACAAACAAACAAACAAAAACACATTTGACTATATATATATATATGTTTTGACTTTTAGTTTAAGCGAAGAATATTCTACGTCAACGCAGATTTTTTCAAGATGTAAAAAATATTCGTGCCCATCACAATGTAACTATATTTCAACAATAATCCGTTGTACTTTTCTGTAAATAGTGCGAAAAAAAAGAAAGATTTTTCTATCACCTCACAGGCTGTAATGTCTAAACTTATTTTTATGAATAAAAAAAAGAAAAAAAAAAAAAAGAAAGATTCTACTGGAATAATAAAAGCCCCGTCGATTATTTCACGTAAACCAGCACAACAGGCCTCTCTTATCCTCCTTCATGTTTTCCTCGAACCAACCGTTCATGCACGCGCTCCCGCACGAGGGATATTTAATATTTCACGCCGTTAAAAACTTACATCATACCCTCGAGGAGATAATTATCGAAATTTTTTTCCCGATGCCCAAAGGCAAACCTGTTTGCCGATCGCGCGTCTTTTCCTCGTCGCCGTTCCTCTTTTTCTTCTCCTTATGCTCTTCCCCTGCAACAGTGGATGAGGGACACGCCTCCTGGTTCTCCTCTTTTTTTTCTTTTTCTTTTTTTTTTTTTGTTTTCGTACAGTTGAATGCGGGGTGCTCTTTAGAGTGAAAATTCGATCGAGTGAGGCTTACAGTTTTAAGGAGTGTTGATTTTCGGAAGTAAGGCTTTCAAAGGGTGCGTGCGGTGTTTGAGGAATACTTTATTGGGATGTTAATTAAAGACTGCTCGGGTGCTCCATTGTTTCGTCCGAATTTCGTATTTGCGTACGATATATTATTTCGTGCTTCATTTGGGAATGAAATTCAATGTTTTTTTAAACGTTGGACCAGAATATCCATATGGGGTCTGCTGGAAGTACTTAAGATAATTTCATTGAATAAATGTAGTATTTTATCAAGTAATCTCAAATCCTTGCATAAAAAAAAATACGCTTTCAAATACTAATGGAAACTCTGTAACTACTTGAGTCATTTGAAAGGATGTCCTACGTTAATTAAAGACCCTTCGAAATCCCATCAGCTAATAAGTACGACGGCTTGACTGAAAGGCAANCCCACTTTTAATTAATAATTTAGGATGTGGTTCAATTTTTTTTTCACGTCTTACAAAACCTTGAAAGGCATTGTTCCCAAAAGTACTTGTAATTAATTTTCCCCTTGGTGCCTTTATGTTACACAACAGTAACCAGTACATCTGAGAAAAAAGCCAATAATTCTTGAAAGTGTGTTATTAACTACTCATGACCACTCCTGACCACTGCTTCAAATAATTTCAATTGATGACATATCGTTTTTGGAAGTAAATCTCAACATCGTACAGTCATTGAAATTTTGGTCTCTTGACTTCACTCAAAGTCATTAAAAATCTTGAATGAATTCTAAGTAACTCTGTACTTTTCACCAGACAGAGAAATTTGTTCGCGTCCTATTTTCACCTGTAATGGTGTATTTCTTCTTTGGTAGAAAAATGATTTATTACGTTGTCTTGATGAACATGGTACATAAGAAAATGGACCACAACAAACAGCGATTCGCGTTGAGAGAAGGGAAAAAAAAAAAAAAAAAATGTAATAACGCAACTAGGACTAAATACGGTAATTACCTCTTGGGCGTGTATATATGTATAAAATAAAAATGCCAAGGAAGTCGGAAGTTTTTATTATCCTATAACAAACTCATCGTCCTTTGTCACGTCATGTGCCGCCAGACCAGACAACCACGCTGCTACTACTCCACTCTGGTCTTCTTTCTTCTTTCTCGGTGTGCGTGTGCGTATGCACCGGATATCCTTCATCCTTGCTGCCCTTGAATCTTCCCTCTGCCACTGCAGGCAATAGCTCCTTGCTCTCGATTTCCTCCTTTATTTAGAGCGAGAGGGAGCATAATGTCAGTCAGCGTGTCTGCTCCTCCTGCCTCCACCACCTATCCACCTAAAGAGACTCTCTCGTCCTTTTGGCTTGGTTTGTGCCTTTTTTTCTTTTCTTTTCTTTCTTTTTTTTTTTGCATTATCCTTCGTATGGCTCGTCCGTCTACCGAAGGTAACAAACGGAGGCCATCTGAATTGTAGATCAGGGGTCTTATGCTACCCTAATGACTGCGTCTAAGTGACGAAGCCATCTAATAAACTAAAAAAGAGGGAAACCGCGAAGCAAATACAAAATACAAAATAAAAAACGCGAGACAAGCAACACTATGATGCGAACAAGTTTCTGAATTTAAGGGCAACAATTTAACAGCTAAATTATTAAACTACCTTTACTATAAATGAAAGGAAATTAATTATGAAAGTACTTACGTTAATAAACGAAGGATAGGATAGGTGGGGTTGAACTAAAATAAAAAAAAAAACTACTTATGAGCCACTGGTGAAGATGTAATTTGTGGCTCACAGGAGGAAACTCTTGCGAGAAAACCCCCTAAGAGGAAAAAAACGACCGATACAAAATTGAACACAACAAGAATTACAATCTGGTTTGAATTGATGTGTAGATGTGGAGGTGTAAGTGTGTGAGAGTGTGAAGGTAAGTGCGCGTCCGCACTGTTCTCTTCCTCGTCTTCGTACCACGGTTCCGCGAGTGCGGATGTTCGCCGTGGGTGCTCACAGCACGTGGTGAAAGTTGATGTGATTTAAATTCGGACGAACAAGAAGAATTAATGCCAGCAACACGTTAATGCGTCGCGGTGCAACGAAAAACTTCTCGAAAGACTCAAACGAGCAAAATTTATCCTAGACAAGCTACGTACACGATTTCTCAGAAAAAAACTGGAGACCGCTCTGTACAGAGGCAAGTATCGGACTGGACGAGGCCTACCGAATTTTCCCAGAAGAGACGCCCTTTTTCT